GCAGAGTATAAAAGCGCACAGAAATGTTTGTGAAGCCACCACAGTGAGTATCACCAATGAAAGCTCGTTAACGCACTGAAAACATGCCCTTTAAGTGGCTGCAATGAGAGCCCTTTTGTCTGCAGTGGCACCCATAGCGAATGGTTTTGTTTCTATACCGAACTTGGCCGGTCGATTCGTGACCAGTAAATACATTTGAGGGAATACGGAAAGGGCGGTGATAGCTACGAAAACTAAGTGTGTGTGTCCTCTACTCAGGGGCTCTTTGAAAGCTGCTATTCTCAGGGACAGCTTCCTGTGGCAATGGAGGGAAAGCTACGGGGGTGGAGCTACTGCACATTTACTCCTTCGCAAAGTAGTCGGGTTCGACTTGCGTTTCGAAGAACGGTGGTTTTTGAATAATTCCACTACATATAATTTGATATGTCTGCTTACACAGCCCTTTGTGAGTGAAATTTGACACAAGCTCCTTCATCCAGTCGTTGGAATAGTCAGAGAGTGACTCCATTTTGCCAGTGATCTGCCTCTAAAACGTGTGACATTGTCAGATGCTCGAAAACGCGAAATGACACTTCCTAAATTAAAACTTAATAAAATACGTTTAGGTCGTGAAGCGTCTATTTATAAACAACATCCCGTAGAAAACAAAGTAGTGTTGTTTTTTATTATTTTCACGCTCAAAACACAGTCGTATTTGTAGGACTATATTACTCAGCGGTGGAACACACCCACTTTGGTTCCACAGAATGTTGTCCCCAAGTATAGCAATAAGTCTACGCACTTAGCGCTTTGGCAAGTGCGTATAGTTACATGCACTGTGATAACAAGTTTACCCTCTGCAATAAATATTACCGCCGCGTGGTTTGATGTTTCTTGTTGCAGGTCTAGCCATCCTGCTTTCTTTGTGATCTGATATACCCAATGTCAGATATGAATGTTATCTTCTACATGAGTTTTCCACAATATTTTCTGCTCTTTTTCCTCTGTGAATAGTGTGTACTTGCCACATTCGGCAGATCGTGTGCAATGACTACGCATGAAACTCTTTGTACGTACGCTTCTGTGCAGCAGGTAATGAATGCTGCTTCTGCATTCTGTTGAACTCTAGTTGACTGAGATGCTTAGTAAGGTTCACAGGATCCTTTTCTTGTCATGCCCTCCACTTCCTAAATTTGTTAACCCAATATAGCTGATTGATTTATTCTTTATTTTTTTCGTTAAATGATCGAATTGTGGAAAGGTGGAGAGGTCAACTGTAATTGGAAATCTGGTTAGTCACTTTTCAATAGGGCGAGAAGGAGGGGAAAAAAAAAGTGAAGCGAAGTTCGCAAGCTAAGGTGGGCGCACCAGATCTGACATAGGGAGGAGCGGGAGTACTATAGCCTGTCTAAGAGGTCATTGTCAAGAAAAAAAAATTCATAAGACCTAATAGATATCCGCTTCAAGAACAGTGCGGGTCGGCATTCTAAAGCTGTATGTCCCGACAAGGGCCTTTCATCAGTTAGTGCCAAGGCATCCACTATAGCCAACACGTGGGCGCGCATAGAGGTGGCAGCAACAAATGGGTTCTACAGTCGAAATGGGTCCCTTCGTCGCCACAGTGCTTTGAAGGGACGCTGTCTTCCACGCCGAGATTTTTTTCCTTAGACATACCACAGATTTTCAAGAAGTTCATCCAAAGTAAGATGTTGTTACAGCTGGCTTTGAAAGGCGGACAAACAAAACAAAAAACACGCAATCAATTTAAAGCATTCACTTCACCTTTTAGAATATAGGGGAGAGTCTTGTGGCTTGAAGCTTTTTGAATAAAAATTTTTCATCACAATGGTGCGAAAACATCGAAACACCACTACAGATCCGGGTAGATTGTGACCGATGTACCACGACGATAAGTCCCCCACGTAATAAATGCGGAGAGTTGGGAACTTCCCGATATTTGTTCTAAGCTAGATTTTTGACCTTAAGAAAGTGGGTCACCTTTTTAAAAGGCCTTGAGCTTCAATGCAGCTTGAATGTCTTGCGAGAAAGTGCTGCGTTGGGAGAAAGCTTACACGGTAGGGGCATGTTTTGTAACACCATCAGAAAAAGTGTGAAGCTAAATGTTTTCAAAACGAATAACAGACCACATTACTCTTGTACAATGAAAATGTCTCAAACGGCGTGATACTGGCACACTTCTTGGTTATTATGCTGAGTTATTTGGGTGTCTCTTCACCAGCTGTTTTATAGATTCCATGGGTTTTTGCATCGTGACAGGTTTTTGCAAGGAGCAACTCATCGCGGAACCCTTGGAACACGTCCATGTTTCTCAACAGCAGGTGGTCCGCACAAGTCATGAGCCTTTGCCAACTCGGACGCATGCTTCTCTGCTTGCTCAGCTGGCACATGTTTTTCTTTTTTTCAGTGAGCAGAAAGCGTGAGACTAAATTCTGTTGTCAAAGTGACAGATGACACACGATGCTTCACCCCAAGAACGGGATGAGGATGCCAGCAAACGCTTTGGTATGAACTTGTGCACCCAACCTTTTCTATTATCTTTTAAACAGAGCTCTGCATTAAAAGCATTCAAAGGATTAGTGTAGGACTTTAAGTTCTGGGACGTCAAGTTGTCCTTATTTTGTTTCAGCGGAATGCATGAACTATCCAAATGGAAGTATAGTACATCAGTCATTCTGCTCTTTGAAGGTAGGCGATCAGACAAGTTGCCTAGCACACGACAAAGAAGCAGCACAAAATTTCAATGGAAGGTAAAGTGCCGGTCAAAATGTTGCAAACCATGGGAGCTAGCACTGTGGCACATTCTGACGCGTGCGTGCGAAGCTCGAGAGCGCGCACTGAGCAGGTGCGCTATTTCTTCGCTTGCCAGCCTGCTCGATCGCTCTCTTTAAAAACGCGTGCACCGGAATGCCAGAAAAAGCGTAATGTATCGTTTCTGCTGTCACCACGGAAACACCGAGTGACGATATCGGGACGAAAAGACGTAATGTCTAGTGGCAGTGCTCGGAGCGGATTGCGATCCGCGCTTCAGTTCCAGACACTCCGCTAGACATCGCCGCAAAACACCGCTATAAATTCCTGCGTGCATTTTCTCCACCGAATGAAAGCTGTTCTGTAACCTTATTACAAAAGTCAATTTTCGAAAAACTCGCGCCGCATGCAAGATTTCGGCGCAGCGGGGCGTCTGGTACTAAGGTGCAGAATACCCGGCATCGAGCACTGCCAGCACACATTACGTCTTTTCGTCACGATATTATCGCTCGGTGTTTCCACGGCGACAGCAGGAGGGACACCCTGCGTTTCTTATAGCGTCCCGAGGCGAGCGCTTCTGAAGAAAGCGAATGAACAGGCTGGCATGTAAAAAATGGCATGCGTGCGCAGTGTGCGCTTTCGAGCTTCACAAGCCACCACCAGAAAACGTCACGGTCCTGTTTCACACGCTCTCCCGTGGTCCGCAAAATTTTGACCGTCACTGTACATATTTTATTGCTTTTCGTGGTTGCGGCGGCTATCGCAAGCAAGGGCTCTCATGGACTTTGATCACACATGTTTATGTGATCAAAGGACACACACACACGCGCGTGCGCAGACACACACACACGCGCACACCCTTACACACACGCGCACACACTTACACACACCCGCACACACTTACACACGCACGCACACACGCACGCACGCACACACACACGCGCACACACACGCACACACGCGCACACAGGCGCTCACACACACGCACACACATGTGCACACACACACACGCACACACACACACACACACACACAGTTTTTCTTTTTCCCCCATTGCGGGAGAAAAACTCAGCTTAAAGAATGGAAGTTATTTGGGCAAGTCAACAAGCAACCAAATAAAACACTTCAGCAATACGGACTACGGCGGCGTCTTTCCTCATTGTGCTTAATATTACTGGTCATCGGTGCTTCAAATATAGGTCCATGGATTACGCAGTTGCATTGTATAAAAGAGGTCACTCACTAAACCACGACTCAATAGCTGCACTAATTCTCTGATTTATGCCCTTGCTCTTTGATGCGTTACAGTCCCTCTTGCGCAGATTTACAAAAAGTGAGGCCTTTTGCTTCTCTTCGTTAGCAATAATAAGTTAGCTTACTATTTCTTGTGAAAAGTGGATTCCGAGGCGCATGAGGATATTTGACTGTGCGCTAAGTGCTTCCGGATCAATAAATACTGCATCGGTACATGTTATGTCGGGACCAGGTAAGCTCTTCAAAGCTGATACACCTATTGAACCTGTGCCCTGTTAGCATGGATGATTGGTGTAATGGTAAAAAACTATGTTTTAACAACTGAAAGCGAAGCGATCATTTGACAGTACGGTTCTGCTGAATGCATGCTTATTTTACAGTAACTTCGCATGACTGCGTCAAACCGAAAATTATCCACCCCATGCTACCAGAACCTCCTGGCATGTACAGACACAGAAATCGGGAAAGCCCCGCCGCTCATTGCTGGTGCGCTGTCTGAAGAAAGGAAGACACAGGTGGCATGAGCCACATAGCATTTCAGTGCATACGTATCCGATAAAAATTGAGAAAGACTTTATTGGAACGTCGGGATTATTGTACTGATAAACACTAGAGCTACATGTTTCAGCTTTGCAGGTAAACCATCTTAACGGAGTGTTTGGGTGGTAATGTTTATTGGAACCACCTGGCTTTCTCTGAAGAATTCAGGCTTGCCTTATTGGTGTGCACTGTGTCAAATTTTAACTGTACACTAGTGACGAAGACAGTGAGAGGTAGCACTAAACGGGTGGACTTACCATCCAAGTCGTCGTATCTGCAATGGGCCTCGTCTTTTGTATGTGGTGATGTCATACATGAATTCTTCTGGCAGGCGTCAAGCTAGTGTACAGGAAATACAAGCATTGTAATCTGTGACCGGCCAATCTTAATACGCTAGGGACTAGTTACCGTTGGTTTTACAATGCAAATTTTCAAAGTCGTTGCTTTGATTGTCGCAGGGCAGGAGTTCTGGCCTCCGGGTGCCCCTTGTGGCCGTGGCCTAAGTATGGAGGCCGGCTTGCAGCTGGGCCTCAAGAAAGGCACACCCGTCGCCACCTCAATAATTGATGCACATGCCGGAGGCCTCGGTGCGTATGACTTGAAGGTACTTCATTTAGCACAAACTTCCAAGTGAAGTGAACAATACCAGCAAGGAAGTATATACTGTCAGTGGAAATAGTCTATATCCAGACTGAGTTTTACGAAATAACTACAGCTGTACCATAAGTCTCAAACCTTGGAATAATATAGGAACCATCCGTACCTTCTGGTACTCTGCCTTGCACTTGAGTGAGGTCGTTATTTTAAGACCAGTGGCAACGTAAGGTAGTTTCGTGAACAAGCGGTCAGGAGTGATTGGGCCCTAGCTGTATATGTCTGCTCTAGGCGACAAATTGTATTAGCATTTATTGGTGTAGTTTCAAATTTCTTGCCATTCGCTACTCCTTCTTCACAAAGTGCTCTGCTATTGTTTCCTCCGTTATAATCAATAGACGTGCTGATAGTAGCTTTTGATATGTGGGGTTTACCGTCCCAATACCACCATAGGATTATGAGAAACTGCCGTAGTGGAGGGCTCCGAAAACTTCGACCACCTGGGTTCTATAACGTGCACCCGAATCTGAGCACATGGCCTACAACATTTCAGCCTCCATTAGCAATGTCGCCGCCGCAGCCGGAATTCGATCTGGCGACCTGCGAGTCAGTAGCCGAGTACCTTAGCCACTAGACCGTCGTAGTTGGGCTGACAGCAGCTTTTGTCTTGAACTGATTCACATTAAATTTTCAGCAAAGTACACGTTTTTCAGTGAAGTTCTCTTGCACTTCACGTGCTTTTCAGCACATTCACGCGCTTTTCATGTGCCATTATCTAGTCGCCTTGCACGTGCAGCGTCACCTGTGACTTGCTCTGAAGGCTTATAAAACGCGCATTTACTGCGGCATTCGTGTCTTCTCGGAGCAGTTGGGAAACGACCACCATGCTTTCGCGTGCTTTTATATATAGTGTTTGAATTCCTATTGCTTGAATGCCAAGCTTGTCACGGGGCTCAAATTCTATGTTGAAGTCAGTGTGAAGAGCCTAAACTTCCGTCTGTTCGGTTGAGTGCATGACACCATATCAATGCGGAGTGTTCGGTTTCATAAATCTCACTTTTGCCGAGATTTTCATCGTATGTTAACAAGGTTGTATCGTAAGTGCAATGACACTTCGAGGTTTTTTTTTTTCAGCTCCTTTGTAAGTATAAAAATGCACACAAAAAAGTATTTTATGTCCACTTTGACGATGCATGTTTATTGGAGCGCATGTTTCATTTCGGATAATATGCACGTCTGATCATGCAGCGTGTTCACTGATTCAAATGACGATTTGGCTGTTTTGACAGCTTGCTTGGTCTTCATCATGTCATGAAATGCGCACAAAGATCGAGCATGTTTATAATTGCAGCGAGATTCGCCCCGGATAACTGTGTCAAATTTCACAAAATCATAGAAAATATTATATCTGCCTTTTTTTTTTTTTCAAATCAGTTTCATAGCGGTAGTTGTATATTGCCCGCAGCTTGGGTGCATGCAAGAATATATCATTTTATATACCAAACCCATGATATCATTAGAAGGCACACCGTGGAGTGAGACTCCACATTGAGTCCAGCAAACTGAGTTTTTTCTTTTTTTTAACATGTAGTTAAATCTATTTGAAGTGTAAGGCACGATGACAACAGAGAGAGGGTGCACATACACTGAGCGCCACTTCTGTTTACCTTGAGTGTCATACCATTGCACACGTGAAATATGCAACACCAAAACGCCTTGTCTTCTTTTCTTGCACCGAAAACTGAGCGCGTTGTTACTGCGCTTTGCTCCTGTGGAAATGTAGCTGTCTTATGCAGGAATGGAACTCATGACTTTGATCCTAGCATCACAACTCCTCAGCATGCTAACTTATCGGTGAGTGTTGCTTGCAAGACCTGTACGTACAAACACTCAGCGTGAACCCGCCGCACAAATCTGTTTACACTGAACAGTGACGAGAGGTCTACAACCGTCAGCTGAATAAAACACTTGCAGGGCTCACAGTATGGTATTTTAACAGTGGTGTTTAAGCTAGCAAGCTCTGCTGCTTTCGCACTACCAATAGTTGTCTTTGAAAAGCCAGAGCCCAATCGCGTAATGCACAGCAGTTGCCGATTTGCTGTAACTTCAGTTTACCAACGCACTTTCTTTTAATAAGAGTCCGCCGCATGTCTTTCAGTTAATAGTTTTAGTACTGTGCACGACTAAAATATATTAAAATAATGAGACGGCGGAGTATCGGTGAACTACCATAATACACTCTTGCTTCTCGCACTGCTCGCATTAGAAATGATAGAACTTGACGGGCAGTTTTCAGGTCTTCGTCATGTTTAATTTTTTGTAGCAGCTAACAATGCAGCAGTAGTGCATGCCGGCTTTTCAGGATGACGAAGCAACAGCGCACATAGCGTGTAAAATGCGAGATGAGCGCCCCAACCAACATGTTTTCCGTGGGCGCAAAAGGAAAACTTGGCATGGGTGACCCGTCCAAGCGACCGGTGCGAAACAAAGCCCTCTTTTCGCAAGGGCAACTGACGACGCTGCGAAAACTTGAGTCTGTCTTCCCTATAGAGAACTGAAGCTCAAGTTTGCAGAGCGACGAAAATGCCGCGCCTGGCCCTGGCGGCAAGCTTGGAAAACTTGAGGAGAAATGCGGGAGAGGTCACAGGCGAGTAGGTATGTTTCGTCGAAATGGGAGCATGTATGACACGCGGGCTACACGTTCTGCAGTGCCTTCAGCTCAGCGCGCTAAAATGCGACCCTTGCTATGCGAAGTTGCCTTTCCACGATAGAAGAAGCGGCCCCACGAAAGCGTCGGTGAGGTCCGCCGTATTGTTCTGTTGTGGGCTGCCACAAAAATGCAGAAAACACCAAGGGACGCTCTCCACGTGTAAAGCTGTATCAGTTTGCCATATAGTCACCGCCGGCGAACACAGCCGTGTTCGCGAAAGATAGAGCAAGCATGACACGAGAGCTGGAGGAGGAGGAATAAACGTTTATCTGCGAAACGGTGTAGCGGTGCAGGTTCCGTGTTAATCTTAGGTGGGAGGTCTCCTCATTCCGGGAACCCTCTGGCATTCGCTGCCTCCTTGGCCCTGGCGACGAGACGTCGTTGTTGGTCCAGGTCCTCCAAGGCAACCTTGACTTCCCACGTTTTGAGGTGTTCGTGTTCTTTACCAGCGTCACAAGTATTCGGCAGAGGCAATAGATCTGTATTTGTATTGCATAAACACTCGAGGATAAGGTGGGCCAAAGTGTTAGGCACAGTGTGAATCGGGGAAATATATTCATATAATGTTGGGTACAATCGGTGCATCAGTATGTTGTGTGTGTATGTGTTGCTCTGCAGTCTTCTCAATTTGGTGCTGTCCTCTTTGTTGAGCTTCGAGTGTGGTGGTGGATACTCTCTGCGTGCCAGCCTATGGTGTTACAGTATTGCAGAGTAAGCCTTAGGTACAGACTCAGCCTCCGCGGACAGAGTCCTGGTGTCTGGAAAGCGGGATGGGGTAGCCCAGTAGGCGTGATCGCAGGCTGTGGCATGAACCGCCTCGTTTCCCTCCAGTCCTTTGTGCCCAGGAACCCATGTCACACAGGTGAATGACATCGGAGTGCTTCGGCGCTTCAATATCTGAATTGCTCGGGTAGACACACGACCTTTGCTGTAGTTTCACATGGCTGCTTGAGAGTATGTGAATACCACAGCTGCATCTAAGGACGTTGTGATAGCTAGGGCAATTGCCGGCTCCTCTGCAATTTCTGTGCTTCGGTGTGTACAGTGGCAGATGCAAGCTCTACGCCCCGAGTATCAACGACACTCAAAGCAGTGGCATCTCTACCAGGATACTTGGCTGCGTCTGTATATCTGGCGTCTGAATCTTGGCTGTGATTTCGTCGTAGAGCATTCACTCGTTCCTGCCTTCTTTCTGTGTGATGTGTGGGGTGCATATTACGGGGGCTTCATGCAATGCAGAAACATTCGCTGATGTTTGGCGGAACCCGTTCTTATCGGTCCGCTGCTGTGTCGCCTATAAAGGTCTCGCTATAGTTCAAACTGTTGTAGCATTGATGTTCCAGTGGGCGATAGCTTTAGTCGTTCTAGTTGGCTAGCCCTGTGGGCTTTGGCTAGTTCCTGTCAGGTTTTGTGCACGCCCATTTTCAGTAGTTTCGCAGTGGAAGCCGTGAATGGGAGCCCTAAAGCAATTTTGGTGGCCTTACGAGTCTTAATGTTCAGGTTCTCTTCCTCTGCGTTCTTCAGGGCGAGGTAGGCAGTGCCATAAGTTGTTCGACTGCTGAGGAAAGCTTGCACAACTGCGTTGTCTGTCTTGCTCTTTAAGGCCGCTTCTACGGTTCGTGATTCATTTGACAAATGCGTGAGTTGAAATAGGCGCGTGCTGTAGTCAAGGGAGTGTGGCCGCACCTGACCCATCTTTGTGGATGTGAAGCCCCAGTACTTTTAATGTTTTCACTTTCTTAATGGGCTTTCCATTGATGGTAATGCTGAGATCAAGTTTAATGTAGGTGACAGACCGCCCTCTCATTCTACACTTCAGAATGAGGTGTTATGATTTTTCGGGAGCACATTCGAGACCACATTTTTTCAAGTACCTCTCGATAATATCTACTGCTTCTTGTAATCGCATTTCTTGAATTTCGGTATTTGAGGCCCTTGTCCATAATGTAATGTCGTTCGCATAAAAGGCATGTCGCAGGTATTGTATAACATCGAGAGGCTGGGTAACCTGATAAATGCAATGTTGAAAAGCAATGCCGAAATGACCGAACCCTGTGGAGTACCTCTGTTTGGTAGTCGGAAAGTGTCGCTGCGAAGGTTGTCAATTCCCACTGTGGCAGTGCGATGCTTGAGGAAATTTCTCACGTAGTTGTATAACCGAGGCCCTCTGTCAAGATGTTCATGATTGCAGAGGATATCGTCGTGGTTTATGTGGTCGAAAGTTCTCTTTATATCAATGGCTATGATTGAAGATTTGCTTCTGGTGCTCAGGTGATCGATGAG